AGCATTACAGCTGTGTTCACACTGTAATATTACAGCTGTGTTCACACTGTATTACAGCTTTGTTCACACTGGTACATTACACACTGTGGCATAACAGCAGTGTTCACACTTTAGTATTACATCTGCGTCCACACTGTGGCATTACAGCAGTGTTCACACTTTAGTATTACAGCTGCGTCCACACAGTGGCATTACAGCAGTGTTCACACTTTAGTATTACAGCTGTGTTTACACTGGTATTACAGCTATGTTCTCACTGTGGTATTACAGGTGTGTTCACACTGTAGTATTACATCTGTGTTACACTGTGGTATTACAGCTGTGTTCACACTGTATTACAGCAGTGTTTACATTGTAGTATTACAGCACTGTTCACAATATGTTATTACACCTGAGTTCACATTGTGGTATTACAGGTGTGTTCACACTGTAGTATTACATCTGTGTTCACACTGTAGCATTATAGCTCACACTGTATCATTACAGCTGTGTTCACACAGTGGTAATATAGCTGCGTTCACACTTTAGTATTACAGCTTTGGTCACACTTTTGTATAACAGCTGTGTGTATTACAGCAATATTCACACAGTGGTATTACAGTTGTGTTCACACTGTAGTATGACAGCAATGTTCACACTTTAGCATTACAACTGTGTTTACACTATGGTATTACAGCTGTGTTCACACTATAGTATTACAGCTGTGTTCACATTGTAATATTACACCTGCATTCACACTATAGTATTACAGCTGTGTTCACACTGTAGAATTGCTGCTGTGTTCAAATCGTATCATTACAGCTGTCTTCACAATGTAATATTACAGTAATGTTAACACTTTACTATTACCGCTGTGTTTACAATGGTATAACAGCTGTGTTCACACTGTAATATTACAGCTGTGTTTACACAGAAGTATTACAGCTGTATTCACACTAATATTACAGCAGTGTTAACACTGTAGCATTACAGCTGTGTTCACAATGTGGTATTACAGTAGTGTTCACACTTTATTATTATAGCTGTGTTCACACTGTATTATTACAGCAGTGTTCACATTGTAGTATTACAGCTGTTTTCACAATATGTTATTACAGCTGAGTTTACACTGTAGTATTACAGCTGTGTTCACATTGTGGTATTAAAGCTGTGTTTACTATAGTATTACAGCTGTGTTCACACTGTAGTATTACAGCTGTGGTCACACTGTGGCATCACTACTGTGTTCACACTGTAATATTACATCTGTGCTCACACTGAAGTATCACAGCTGTGTTCACACTGTAGTATTACAGCAGTGTTCACACATTACTTTTTCAGCTGAGTTCACACTGTGGTATTACAGCTGTGTTCACACTGTGGTATCACAGCTGTGTTCACACTTCAGTATTACATCTGCATTCACAATAAGGTATTTCAGCAGTTTTCACACTTTAGTATTTCAGCTGAATTCACACTGTGATATTACAGCCGTGTTCACACTGTAGTATTATAGCTGTGTTCACACTCTGGTATTAAAGGTGTGCTCAGTCTGTAGAATTACAGCTGTGTACACACTGAGGTAGTAACGCTGTGTTTACACTGTAGTATTACAGCTGTGTTAACACTCTGGTATTACAGCTGTGTTCACACTGTACTCACCTAATTGTGCTTGCGGGGGTTGAGTTTTGGCTCTTTTTTCCAGGAAATACAATTGTGGCATCACAGCTGTGCTCACACTCTAGTATTACATCTGTGTTCACACTGTAGTATCATAGCTGTGTTCACACTGTGGTATTACAGCAGTGTTCACACTTTGGTTTTTCAGCTGAGTTCACACTGTGGTATTATAGCTGTGTTAACACTAGTATTACAGCTGTGTTCTCATTGTAGTATTACACCTGCAGTCACACTATAGTATTACAGCTGTGTTTACTCTGTAGCATTACAGCTGTGTTCACACTGTAATATTACAGCTGTGTTCACACAGTAGTACTACAGCTGTGTTCATACTGGTGCATTACACAGTGTGGCATTACAGCTGCGTTCACACTGTGGCATTACAGCTGCGTTCACACTGTGGCATTACAGCTGCGTTCACACTGTGGCATTACAGCTGCGTTCACACTGTGGCATTACAGCTGCGTTCACACTGTGGCATTACAGCAGTGTTCACACTTTAGTATTACAACTGTGTTTACACTGTAGCATTACAGCTGTGTTCACAATGTGGTATTACAGCTGTGTTTACACTGGTATTACAGCTGTGTTCTCACTGTGGTATTAGAGCTGTGTTCACACTTTAGTATTACAGCAGTGTTCTCACTGTGGTATTACAGCTGTGTTCACACTTTACTATTACAGCAGTGCTCACAATGTAGTATTACAGCTGTGTTCACACTATAGTATTACTGCAGTGTTCACACAGTATTACAGCTGTGTTCACACTAGTATTACAGCAGTGTTCACACTGTAATATTACAGCAGTATTCACACTGTAATATTACACCTGAGTTCACAATGTAGTATTACAACTGTGTTCACATTGTGGTATTAAAGCTGTGTTCACAGTGTATCATTACAGCTGTGATACTAAATATAGCAATAGCACACTGTGTTCACACTGTAGCAATATAGCTGTGTTCACAGTACTCACCTAATTGTGCTTGCGGGGGTTGAGCTTTGGCTCTTTGGTCGTCAGTGTATCATTACAGCTGTGTTCACACAGTGGTAATATAGATGTGTTCACACTTTAGTATTGCAGCTTTGGTCACACTTTAGTATAACAGCTGGGTTCATATTGGTATTATAGGAGTATTCACACAGTGGTATTATAGCTGTGTTCACACTGTAGTATTACAGCAGTGTTCACACTGTAGTATTACAACTGTTTGCACTGTGGTATTACAGCTGTGTTCACACTGTGGTATTACAACTGTTTGCACTGTGGTATTACAGCTGTGTTCACATTGCAGTATTACAGCTGCATTCACACTGTAGTATTACAGCAGTGTTGACACTGTAGCATTACAACTGTGTTCACACTTTAGTTTTACAGCTGTGTTTACACTGGTATTACAGCTGTGTTCACACTTTAGTATTACAGCTGTGTTCACACTTTAGTATTACAGCTGTGTTCACACTTAAGTATTTCAGGTGTATAAATAAATAATCATTAATTACGTTGCCAGCAACGTATTGTGGGTAAGCCGCGACCACCCCGGTGTTCACTAGGAAACAGTACTTGCATGTGTAAGAGTTAAAGATAAACTTGAGATTGTTTTACAGAAGATACTAGTATGGATATGCCTCAGATTTACGAGTGCTGCAAGTTTCAACAATTAAATTGTTGAAACTTCCAGGCTAGCATCATATGTCTCTGTTTTAAGATTCAGTGTCATATGTGAGTTTTAGAGAGAAAGTTATTGTCAGTGAAGCCTCATTAGTGACACGATCGCACGATGTTATCCAAGAATTGTAAATGGGATTACTGTGGTGAACCTTATGTTGAGGTGGGATTACTGTGATGAACTTCATGTTGAGGTGAGACTGTAGTTCTGTGGGATTAATGTGGTGTTCATGTTGGGAGTGTGGTGAGGGGATTACTGTGAACTTCATGAGGTGGTGAACTTCATGTTGAGGTGGGATTACTGTGAACTTCATGTTGAGGTGGGATTACTGTCAACTTCAGGTTGAGGTGGGATTACTGTCAACTTCAGGTTGAGGTGGGATTACTGTCAACTTCATGTTGAGGTGGGATTACTGTCAACTTCAGGTTGAGGTGGGATTACTGTCAACTTCAGGTTGAGGTGGGATTACTGTCAACTTCAGGTTGAGGTGGGATTACTGTCAACTTTATGTTGAGGTCGCACTATGTCGAGAGGAAGTGAGGTGACGAGCTCGCCCGGGGCTGTGTGTGCTTTTGCGCTCGTACTTACCATGTCGGTCTGCGTGTACTCACACCTACTGCGTGTGGGTGTGCCTGTACTCACGTGTATCACGTTCACACTGTAGTATTACAGCCGTGTTCACACTGTAGTATTACAGCCGTGTTCACACTGTAGTATTACAGCCGAGTTCACACTGTAGTATTACAGCCGTGTTCACACTGTAGTATTACAGCCGTGTTCACACTGTAGTATTACAGCCGTGTTCACACTAGTATTACAGCCGTGTTCACACTGTAGTATTACAGCCGTGTTCACACTGTAGTATTACAGCCGTGTTCACACTGTAGTATTACAGCCGTGTTCACACTGTAGTATTACAGCCGTGTTCACACTGTAGTATTACAGCCGTGTTCACACTGTAGTATTACAGCCATGTTCACACTGTAGTATTACAGCCGTGTTCACACTGTAGTATTACAGCCGTGTTCACACTGTAGTATTACAGCCGTGTTCACACTGTAGTATTACAGCCGTGTTCACACTGTAGTATTACAGCCGTGTTCACACTGTAGTATTACAGCCGTGTTCACACTGTAGTATTACAGCCGTGTTCACACTGTAGTATTACAGCCGTGTTCACACTGTAGTATTACAGCCGTGTTCACACTGTAGTATTACAGCCGTGTTCACACTGTAGTATTACAGCCGTGTTCACACTGTAGTATTACAGCCGTGTTCACACTGTAGTATTACAGCCCTGTTCACACTGTAGTATTACAGTTGTGTTCACACTGGAATTACAAGTGTTTACGCTGTAGTATTACAGCCGTGTTCATGCTGTAGTATTACAGCCGTGTTCACACTGTGGTATTACAGCTATGTTCACACTGGTATTACAGCAGTGTTCATACTGTAGTATTGCAGCCATGTTCACACTGTAGTATTTCAGCTGTGTTCATACTCTAGTATTTCAACTGTGTTCTTACTGCAGTATTACAGCTGTGTTCACACTGAAGTATTACAGCGGTGTTCACTCTGCAGTGCTTGATCACCACTGTGGTCAATATTTACTAATAAATCTCGCCTCAGCAGCTTAATCTGGGTAAAAATACATAATAAAGTATTACATACTTAGTGTGGAGTATGGCAGCGTCCCGTCCAGCGCTGTGGGTGTGGCTGACTGAGGCGTGAGGCGGCCGTCCACAGTAGAGAGGCGGGCGGACGGGTCCAAGACCTGTGTACTGCTACATGCTGGCGACGACGTGGCCGTGTTTTAATACACATTTGTAAACATTTTATAATTACGTGTTATATAACAACTAATGTGTGTTAATTACAGGTCTTGAATGAATGTAATTACAAAGAAACATTTTGTATAAATTTACTCATATAATGCTACTTTTAGATCAATAAATATATTAATATATTGTACTAAATAAACACAGTTCCTTCGTTGGCTACTCGTGCTCATGTGCTGACCCTAGAGCATATACATGTTAGAGTGATCAGACTTTTACCTCAGTATCCAGATGCTATGGCTGGTCGCGTGACTACTGGAAACGGTATGTGACCTTTTTCACTTATGGAGACACTGAAATACTGTAGTCTTATTTAATAATTGTTACATACAATAAACAAGCGCAGTTTACTATATTACTTAAAAGATATAAAAATGGTTATTAAATATGGCTCACATACATATTAATATAGATTACCATAAATAGTTGGGAAAGGATGTCTGGCTTATCGAGGTCACCCTTGGCCAACCATAAATACTGACCTTCGCCAGGTTGCAAACCAAAGCAGTTGCCTAACTACCGAGTACCTATTTACTACTGGGTAAACAGAAACATCAGGTAAAAGGAAATGGGCCCAACCTTCTCGGTTTATCCCGGGAGCGTTACGCGTCACACCACAGCCTGTAGAAAAAAATGTAACAATATTAAACATAAATCAAAAAGCTAAGTTACGGCCAAAATAATTGACCACTTAACTATATATTGGAAATTGTCCATACTTATGGGCAGAAGTATACCAACAAAGAAAATAGAAACGGTATAATACAAAGTTACAAACGGTATAATACAAAGTAATATATTACAAAGAAACGTAATATAATACAAAGAAAATACAACAAAGAAAATAGAAACGGTATAATACAACAAACTTCAGGTACAGAGGACCACAATGTTCCCAAACAACCACATCAAAGCAGGGAGCCAGGAAGGGTTCACTCACATTGCTGTCTGCGTTACAAAGAAACAAATGTACTCCCCTCTTTCATTACACAGAGAAATTACATTATCGTGTTATATCAATGAGAAAATCCACAGGAGCCATGATGAGGATTCGAATCTATGCGCTGGATATTCCCAGATGCACGCTCTAAACGATTGCGTCAATATATCTCATTGATATATCATGATAATTTGATTTATCTGTGTATTGAAAGAGGGGCATCAGAGATATAATTACTGGACGACAGAGCCAGAGTGCATGGGGGGAATTGTGTGAAAACCCCCTGGTTGCTTCAGTGGAAGCCTCGGGAATCCTCAGATGTGTAGTAGTGCCCCACGTTGCAATTCTTTTGATCATGTCATGGTGTAATCGTTTAGAGCGTGCATTTGGGAATACCTAGCGAATAGGTTCGAATCCTCATCACGTCTCCTATGGATTTTCTCAGTTCTTACATTCTTGTAAAGCCACTAGCACACATATCGTTTCTGGCAGGTCCTTAATCCTAATTTTCACTTGAATACGATCCGCCAAATCATTTAACAACCAGGTACCCATTCACTACTGGGTGAACAGAGGCTACAGTTAACGAATGGCGCCCAGTCAACTTTCCCAGGCATGGATACGAACCCAGACCAAATCGCTCACGAAGCGCTGTGCATGTGGTTTACCACTGCGCTACGGAGACTGCTAGATATATTAAATATTAGATATATACTACTAGATATATTAAATATTAGATACATATACTACAATATATTAAATATTAGATATATATACTACTAGATATATTCAAAGTTTACCTGTATTATAAATAGCTACAACCGTATGGTTGTAGCTATTTATAATAGCTACAACCATTATATTATAGCTACAACCATTATATTAAATAGCTATTTATAATAGCTGTAGCTATGAATGAGTATGGGGGTCCACTAGCGCAATTTAAACAATATGAACAGACAAGTATGGATTAGAGACTCAGATGTACTTAAAGCTTGATAATATTAACAATGCTGGAATATTGGAACACAAAAAATATTATAGTAGGTAATAATAATGTGCATATTTAAGTGTGAAAATTAATGATTAATTGATAATAAACAAAGCTATAACTTTATGAAACAGATTGACAAATTTTTAGTGCAATTTTGTTTTAAATTTTGTGAAACTGATATCAAGGTAGTAGGAGATAAATTTGTAAATCACAAATATTTTAAGAATCTGATGTATGTGTGTGTGAAAGCCCTCGGTAAGGGAGAGGGGCAAGTAACCTTAGATGTTCTATGATCCACTGGGGGGGGGGGACAAACCTACCCTCCAATATTTGTCCAAAATAACATCTGACTCCACAACACTTCCACAGCCTCCACATGCAGATGCCCCATCTTATCTCACTTATGAATTGCATTAACCTACAGTTCCTGTGATATTTAAACTCTTCATGAAATGTCTCCCTAACATAAACTGGATTGGATTTTATCCCGAAATAGCTACCCACCAAAACATTTTCTCTTTTTTCTGATCATTTAAAAGCGACATTTGATTGATTTGTTCACGTTTCAAATTACACTTTTTACACGTTGTGAGATTTTTTTTTCTTCTTTGACTTTAGCAAAAGAATTATTTCCAATTGATGTTACGTTAATGTAACTACCTCGCAAGGGAGGCAGACCTCAAACAGAAAGAACTGCCACTGGAAGATATTTAACTTAAAGCCTAAGATCATAGGAAAGTGGGAGCAAACAGCGAGGCTTCACCACAAGGGTAAAACTTGTCCACTTAGGTCGTTGGCTCCTCCTAGTAAAAACTAATAAAGGTAGCCGACGGGTACTCACTTCGAATTTCTTGGAGAGTAATGCTGTAAATTGGACTCTACTTCTAGGAATAGACTTAATTTACACATAAACAGACAAGGCATTGCAGAACATAAAAAATGGGACAATAATGTGGCGGGTTTGAAGTAAACGACTGCTTCTAGAACAATAACAAATTTATTCAAATAAATCTAGAACTACTACAACAACGAGTTTACGTTAATTTACTGTCTACCCCAGTGGCACATTTAAAAACAGCTATTCAACAGCCTGGTGGACCCACGGGATCCTTCCCGTCGTCGTTGACTGAATAATGACACTAACTCAACAGAGTGGTGCTCATGGGTGACGCAAGCTTGCAAGCAATATATGTCACGGCGCTCACAGTGAACAAATACTATAATCACAAAACTTGAATGGCTCTCGCTGCCCTCCCAGCGAGGTACCAAGTAACAAGGCGGATGATCCCAGCACGGATGACCCCCTCTATAAAATCTTTATAGAGGCTTTAAGTTCTCTATAAAATCTTTATAGAGGGTTAACACTTATTAACACTTGTCTTTCAATACACAAACAATAATAAAAGTTACACTAATTGAATTTAAACAATTACGTTAATCAACCGTCCACAGCGGTCAGCAACAATTCAATTTACGTTAACACACTTATGTCTCAACGACACTCAAATGGCAACAATAACTCGTAAGCTCATTAATTACATCACACTTGAAACGTCAAGCATTCGATGAGTAATTCCCAAGTAATTACTGTCACTCCAACAGCCTAATAATTCAGACAAGTATTGATAGACACTAAGTGGGGGGGGGGGGGGGTAGAAATAGCCTAAGCTACTCTATCCCTTTAAGATGTATTTCTCTCTTATCTCAATAAACATACTTGATAGACACTGCTGTTATCCAACTGATAGGTTTCTTCCGATCTTACGACAAGATTACCTTAACGAGGGTTCTACTACTCTACTTACACAAGGCTACACAACACCCCTGTATAAACACAACATCAACACCGTGTGAATTCACCAAGTGGCGGATGCTAATTCCCTTAATCAGCTTACACGTGCTTAATCCCCCTGTCCGCATACAGATACGATCAGTCCAACGAATTATGACAGCTTAATTGACTTCGACCATGACAGGACAGTCAACCCCTTTACGTTAATCAATCACTTAATTAACGACAGCTCGTTAATTCGTTAACACTACGTTAGTCGCCCTATCGACAATTCCTCCACTGCGTAAACTCACTGTGACTATTGCAGTTACACGAATTTACGTTATTCACAACGATGTTCAACAACATATCAATGCCCTCGTTAAACAATCACGTCCCCTAGTGACGTTAATGACTTTAATTGTCCCGGAACCGTTCTCAGTACACATCGCATTACACCAAGGATACAACTGTCTACAGTTCACAATACGATACTATACTGTACAACACGGTACAACACGGTACACTTTTGCCGCCCACGGCAAACTTGCAAAACATTTCCCCCAGTATGACATTCAATAAGCAAATTCAATATCTAAAGGAGAAAGCAAAATCACGAATAAATATAATGAGAACAATCACAGGGCCCCGTCTAGGAGCGGGACACAAAGTGTTAAGAATGTTTTACATACACGCCGTTCGTTCCCTAGTTGATTATGCAGCGCCTGTCTTACTCACTCTTTCTCCTGGTCAGTGGGCAAACGTTGAGGTTCTTCAAAATGATGCATTGCGAATCATAACAGGAGCTCCCAGATGGACTAAAATACTGAACCTAAGACTAGAAACAAAGCTAACGTCGATTGAAATAAGGGTAAAAGGGATTGCTGCGTGCATGCTGACAAAGATATTGACTAGACCTAGAATCAGTTCACTTAAAGATATAATCACTGGAGCACTAACTCTGGACAGTGGGAGTCTGGCCCTAGCTTCGGTGCGGGGCAGACGTGTTGAATCGGCGCTCCAGCAGTTTGGTGTTGTTTGCCCGTTTCGGCCGGTTGGGGGCGGGTGTGTCTGCTCGCCTGTGCTGACGTGGCGTTACGATGGGGGTCCCTCTACCCCAGTCGTCCGGGCTCAGTCTGTGGGACTAGAGTTCTCTGTGCGGGCTGGTTACCCGGAGATTGCCCTGGCTTGTGAACTGCTCTCTGTCCCTGTG